ACGGCCTGAGCCTCTGGACCTTCATCTGGGCATGTTCCTCCCCACCCTTCTCACCCAGGCAACCCCAGAGCAGCAGGATCGCTTCTTCATGCCTGCCTGGAACCTGGAGATCATTGGCACTTATGCCCAGACTGAAATGGGCCATGGTACAGTACATTCACTAAATGCTATTTCTAAGAATGGCTTTGTGTACAGAGCGTTCCCCTGCCTGGGAAGAATGGTGTGTGTGTATCCCAGAGACTTCACACCTGCAGCTGTGGCTGTAGGGAGAAGTGGGCAGCCTCTGAAGTGTTTAACAGGGCATTATTGCCATGTGATGTTTAACAGGGCATTATTGCCATGTGGTGTTTAACAGGGCATTATTGCCATGTGGTGTTTAACAGGGCATTATTGCCATGTGATGTTTAACAGGGCATTATTGCCATGTGGTGTTTAACAGGGCATTATTGCCATGTGGTGTTTAACAGGGCATTATTGCCACGTGCTGCTTCCTCCTTTTTCCCCCTACAGGAGGGTTTGGTGTCTGTAGCTCTATTTGTGAGCACCCTGAGTGCTCCTTGTGCCATTCAAACCAGTGTCATTAATGCCTCTGACTGGTGCTGTCAGTTTGGTGGCATCTGTTCATCATTCTTTCCAGTTTGATTTCTGCTTTGATGTAATTAATGTCCAGTGTGAAGACAAAAGGACGGAACTTTTACGGTACTGAAAGAGAAGACAAAAACTTTAAAGAGTTGTTTGTCACCTTGGACTAACCTTGGGTCAGAGAACATGTGGATGACTTTGTTCCAATACTCATGTTTTGTGTGGAGTTTTATTCCCCCTTTGTTAACTCCCATGTGTTCTTTTTAATTGGACTGTGAAATGTTTTGGTGTGTCTTTAATTTTCTGTCTCAACTAGACTTTGGTTTTTGTTGCTATTCCTTTGCTTTCAAGCTTTGAAATGGATTTTGATAACTCCAGCAGTATTGTGATTGCAACACTTTTAATCCAAGTTTCAAAGGGAGGATACTGTGCCTTGGGAAACTTTAATTTTGACATCTGAGAGTTGCAGATGAGAATTATTTTCTAAGAATGAGCAGGATTCACGCTTGTGCTGAAGTGAAATGTAGAGACTGTATGAAGCATAAAGTAACTGCAAGTCTGAGGAGAATCTCTTGCAACTAGTGAGGTTTGAAGATCCTTTACCAGCAAAGTAAGTCTGTGTTGAGCTGCCTGTGGAAGTCTGCCATTACCTCCATGTTTTGGGAACGTGGTTGCATCAAGGTGATCCCCTTTTTCATGTTGGAGCTCTTGTTCTGCTCTCTCAGTCCAGACTCTCAGGAGTGTTCACAGCTTGCCTAGTTTAAGCAAGTAGGCCTGGTGATTTTTGGTTTTTTAATGCATGCAGGGACAATGCTACTGCTCCAAGATAGGTGTGTGTGAAGAGTTGGGGGCAGAAGACAAAGGCTGTTCCTGGAATTACCTCCATCTTTTTTCAGTCTCTTCATCTGCCTGCATCAGTCCCCTGGCATTCACGTGCCATTACTTGCTGTCTTGGAGCTATGGATGGTCTCGTTTGGGAGATCAACTCCACCAAGTGAGGAGAATATAGACCTGAGAGGGAATAAAGAGGTAGTGGGCACTGCTTATTTCATCTTGTGGCTGAGAAGGGTATGATTTTATTTTGCAGTTTAATCAGATTGCATTTTAGTGAAATTGAGGTGAGCGTGGTTTTGTGGAATGCCTTAACTGAGAAAGGGCTTCTGGTGTGTGATAACAAAAAGGTGTCAGATTGGAGGTGCTTGGAAAACTAGTCTTAGACCACTGGGGGAAAAAAATTGACATGTTTTCTGAGAATTGGCTTCAGGTCCCAGATTGTGGTCCGGCTATCACTTGTTCTTCCTTAATTGGTTGAAATTCAATTCTTTATGTAACCTAAAAGCAAAGTTAAAATTTAAACATTACTACTGGAGTTCCACTTTCCGTTGTCCAGTTCTATCCTTGTCTCTGTTTTCTGACTGACTTTCTGCCAAAACAATGTGTTTGCTTGTTTTCAGGGACTCACCTTCGAGGTCTAGAGACTACAGCCACTTACGACCCTGCCACGCAGGAGTTCATTCTCAACAGCCCCACTGTCACCTCCATTAAGTGGTGGCCAGGTGGACGTAAGTGCATCACTGTGTGTCTAAAGCTGGAAGATGTATGGAATAACTTGGGGAGGTGGTGCCATGTGTGTTGCATTTACAGAGTGATGGTTGAAAGCTGACCCAAAGAGTTGGCTGAAAAGCAGTTACTCTTGAACACCAAGAAACAAACTTACCAGAGCCTGCTAAAACATCATCTGTGTGTTCTAGACTGTTATTCACAACCAGTCACACTGTATGAATTTAGTGTAATGTTTGGTTGTATCAAAGTTTATATTTCCTTCAGCTTCACTGGTAGGTTTGCCAAGGACTTGGTGTTGTGTAGTCGAGAGAATTGTGTTGTGCAACTTCCACTGACTTGAGCAACACTGTTTGTCTAGAGCTGTACAGTTGGGGTGATAACCAGTGTTGTAAATCTGGTTTTCTACTGCATGATGTGGTTCAGGTAATCTCAGATCCTGCTTTAAGGAAAGACTCTGTGTGTGTAAGTATGTTTGACTGTGTTTTTCCTTCTGACTCCCACTCCTGTTGCAGTTGGGAAGACGTCAAACCACGCCATCGTTCTGGCCCAGCTCTATACCCAGGGCCAGTGCAAAGGGCTGCACGCCTTCATTGTTCCCATCAGGCAGCTGGGCACCCATGAACCTCTACCAGGTAAAAATCCATGTTAAGGGTTAAAATCCATGTCATGGAATCAGTTAGATCTGTTTCTCTCTGACTATACAGAACTGCTCTCTTGTTGATGTCCATGGCTTACTTCACTAGCTGCTTGCAGTGATTAGATCACAGGGCTTAAATGAGGCTTTCTTGTGACTGAACTACCACTAAATCACCTTTTATCATGCCTTCAATGTGAAGTGCAGTTTGGGATTTTATTCTGTCCCACTGTCTCCCAGTGTCTCCCCAGTGTCTCCTATGCATTCTTAGTGCAGCATGTCCTGCTTTCTGAAAGGGAAAGAAGAGCTTTCATCATTGTTTAGCTGCAAGTGAGCTGGGTGAACTTCAGAGGCAGCTCCTGCAGTGAGTGGATAGTAGGACTGTATGGAAGTTAGGAAGTTTCCCATGTTTTGATGTCCACTTGTGGTTTAACCCATCAGGCAGCTAAACACACAGCCATTCCCCTTCCACAGTGGAATAGGGAAGAGAATTGGAAAAAGGTAAAACTTATGGGCTGAGATAAAGACAATTTAATAGGACAGAAAAGGAAGGGAAATTAATAATAATAATGATAAGAGAATATGCAAAACAAGTGATGCAAAATGTGATTGCTCGCCACCCATTGACTGATGCCCAGACAGTCCCTGAGCAGTGGGCTGCCACACCACCCAGTTTCCCCAGTTTTATTGTTCAGCATGATGCCATATGAAGTGGAATATCCCTGTGGCCACCTGGGGTCAGCTGGCCTGGCTGTGTCCCCTCTCAGCCTGTTGTGCCTCCCAGCCTCCTCACTGGCATCACAGTGTGGAAACTGAAAAGTCCTTGATTTGGTGCAAGCACTGCTCAGCAACAACTGAACCATCAGTGTGTAATCAACACTTCTCATCCTGAATCCAAGGCACAGCACTGTACCAGCTACTGGGAAGAAAATTAACTCTATCCCAGCCAAAACCAGGACACCACTTTTCCATCAAAGCTGTTACTCATAACACTGCCGGGACTTGCTAGAAAACTAAATAATCTTACTGGAGAAAGCTTGAACCTCTCAGGTGGTGTTTAGTTCCTGTTTCTTAATGCAAGTGGCTTTGTCTGTGGCAGGTATTACAGTGGGTGACATTGGCCCAAAATTTGGCTATGATGAAATGGATAACGGCTACCTGAAAATGGACAACTTCCGAATTCCTCGGGAGAACATGCTGATGAAATATGCTCAGGTAAAGCAGTGGATTTCAGCACCTGCTGTTAGACATGGACACACTGAATGCTCTTGTGTGGCTGAATAAGTGCACCAAAAGGATTGTGGGTTGCTTAAGTGCTGCTTGATGAGTTTTGAGCTTGACGTGTCGATATGTAAAAGGGAGGAAACTTCAACAAGCTGGTTTTTGGGGTTTTTTTGGTAGGTTGAACCAGATGGTACCTATGTGAAGCCTGTCAGTGACAAGCTGACCTATGGGACCATGGTGTTCATCCGCTCCCTCATCGTGGGTGACTCCGCTCGCTCGCTGTCCCGCGCCTGTACCATCGCCATCCGCTACAGCGCCGTGAGACACCAGTCTGAGCTGAAGCCAGGGTGAGTGCAGGGACACCCAGGAGCAGCCTTGGTGCTGAGGGGAAATTCTCAATTACTGAAGGGAAGAGGGACTGTGGTTGATATTTGTTTTGGCACTTGATACTGTTTCAAAACACTCAAACTTCAAAAAATCTTTCATTCTTGACTGCCAAAATGTCCTCCCCTGCCAGGGGCATTTACTGGTCTTAGGTACTCTTAGATACTCCAGCTTGATACGGGTGTAGCTTGTGCTATGAATGGGATTTCTGCAGCAGCAGATAGCTGGCCACTGGCATGCTGATTCATCTGTGTTTTGCTCTAGGGAACCAGAACCCCAGATCCTGGATTATCAGACCCAACAATACAAACTCTTTCCTCTCCTGGCAACAGCATATGCTTTCCATTTTGTGGGAGCCTACATAAAAGACACCTACCATCGTATTAGTGGGGACATCAATGAAGGGGACCTGAGTGAGCTGCCAGAGGTACTGTGTCCTCTGGGAACCAGAGGGGTATTTGTTGAATTCATGTGAGGTTTCTTTACAATTTTCACTTGTGAGATGTCTTGTACTTCTGTAGTTTCAAAAGCCCCCAAGTATGTGCTGGTAACCTTTACTTCTTTATTTGCACTATTCATTTAGCACTTTATAAAAAACAGGGAGTAATGCACAGTGAGAAAGCTACTGGGAATATATTTTATCAAAAGGTGACTTTTTAGGAATGATGGCATATCACTTGGGAGTTGAGACTGGTCTTATGCTTGTGCTGTAGCTTCTGAATTGTTCTTCCAAGTGGCTGGTGTAGAACAAGTGTGTTGATCAAAGGTATCAATACCATACTGAGGGGCCAGGGTTGTAAAATGTTTGTTTTCTGTTAGGGTTTCTGTCTGAGAACCTGGTGTGACAACAGGCAGTTGAAGACAGACTTGTACATAAAATGCGTAGGCACAGAAAGGGTGGCGTACTCAAAAGTGGACTTTCCGTGTACAGAGGTTTTCCTATAAATAGTTTGGCTCAGGAAAGAGTTCTTGCAAGAAAAACAGGACCCTGTGGGACAGTGCAGGAGTGGTGTTTTTCTGGGAGCTGCACGTACATGTGCAAGCCAAGAACGGGAAATAAATCTAAACTGGCTTTGCTTTGTCCCTCAGCTCCACGCGCTGACAGCAGGGCTGAAGGCCTTCACTTCCTGGACTGCCAATGCTGGCATTGAGGAATGTCGGATGGCCTGTGGTGGGCACGGCTACTCCCGCTGCAGTGGCATTCCTGACATCTACGTCACCTTCACCCCGTCCTGCACCTATGAGGGAGAAAACACGGTCATGATGCTGCAGACAGCCAGGTGTGGTGGGAGCTCTGCACGGGGGTGCTCCTGCCTCAGTGTTGTGCTGTTTGTAGCAGAAGAGTGTTCTGTACTACCATGAAACTGGAGTCATGTTTCTGTCCCTTGCCCTGTTTTTGACAGAAAAGTATATGCCTACAGTGTTCTTTCTGGCCTGAGCCTGACTGTTCTCTGCTCAAACAATTTGTAAGAGTTGCCATCTGCTGTCTCTGTTTTCAGATTCCTTGTCAAAAGCTACACCCAGGTTAGCTCTGGGCAGCAGGTTACTGGCATGGTGTCCTACCTGAACGACCTCTCCAGGCAGCGCATTCAGCCACAGCACGTGGCTGCCAGGACTGTGACCGTGCGGATCAACGACCCTGTCAGCTTGGTGGAGGCTTACAAGGCACGTGCTGCCCGGTGAGTTCACAGTTACCAGCCTGAGCCAAGCCAAACTGGGTGTCCTGGGAGGTGGTGGTGATGCACTGCCCTGTTAATGCTGGATTTTCAAGGTGTGGTCGGCAGAGCTTTGATCCGTGTGTTGCTTTCAGGAAGTGACACACTTCACTGGGTTGGGGTCGGTGTTAAGTGCTTTGTGGTTACAAGAGGCTACTTAAAGCCTGCTCATAGCCTAGTTACTCTGCTCCCATTTCCATTGGGAAATATTTACATGTAAAGTATATTCACGTGTACAAATACCAATGTTGTATTTGCTCTGAGACTGCTCAGAGATCTCTCTGGAGAGAAACAATCCTGATATTCAAGCCTGTTATGAAGGAAATGCAAGAGTAGAGCAGATGCCTACATGTGAGTAGGTATTGAAGCACCACATGGGTGCTGTCAGATGTCCTTTACCCCCCTATAGCTGTATTGTAGCTGCAGCAGGGGTAACTGATGTTTCAGAGGCACAACTTTTCAGTCCAGGCAATATATTCAGTCATAGCACATCAGAATAATTCAGAGCTCATGTGCCATGACTGAAATCCATATGAATTCAGTGTATGTCATCTAGTGAATGTGGTGCTATTGTGTAAACTTCTTTTTATAAAACAGGCTTGTAGAAGCTGCAGCAAAGAATTTGCAAGCTGAGCTGAACCACAGAAAGAGCAAGGAGGACGCCTGGAACAGAACTTCTGTTGACCTGGTGCGGGCATCAGAGGTCAGTGATGTGCCTGCTACAGAAAATGTGCTTAAGAGCTTCTCATCTCTTTGTGATCCTTTGTGACTGGCCTTCCTGTGTCTGTGCAGGCACACTGCCACTACGTGGTGGTGAAGCTGTTTGCAGCAAAGCTGTCTGAGGTCTCTAACGCCGCTGTCCGAGCTGTGCTGACCGACCTGTGCCTCCTGTACGCCCTGTTCGGCATCAGCAAGAACACAGGGGATTTCTTGCAGGTTGGTGTCTTTCCCCAACACTTTAGATCTCCAGAGCCAGATTCACTGTTTGCAAAGATGCTTTAAATGCCAAATGTATGAATATTTTAGGTATAAATTCTTGACTTCCAGAAGGCCATTAGCAGGGCAGGTCTGGTGGAAGGCTCTTGTCAGGTTTCCCTTGTGATCTGCCAGAATGGAGAGCTGGGTGATAAATGGAAACCAGGCATGTGCCAGGTTTAGCTGAAATGGTTTCCAGTTGGTGACCAGGTGTTGTGTGTTAAAAGACAAGGAGATAATAAAGGAGGTGCACGTTAGACATGCTCCAAGAGCTGGATCTCTCAAAGGGGGGTCTTGCACTTCAAATCTCGACTCTTACTTCAGTGAATGGGTTTAAATTGTCAGGCATTGCTTTTCTCCTCATTCTGTCAGTTTGAGAATGTGCTCGTGCAGCAGTGGTCTTCAGGCAGACGTGGTACATTTTGTCTGCCCATTTTTCCTCTTTGCTGCTTCCTAAAAAATTCCCTGAAACCAGGAGCAATTTAATATACATGTATGCACATTCTTCAAGTAAACTTGCACGCAGGGCCTCTAAGGACTGAGTCTCCCATCCAAGATTAAATGGCTGGGTGGTATAGTAGGCTGTGCTGGGCATCTCCATTTGCTTGTACAGTATGGCTAATTGCCAATTTAATTACTTAGTAAACTAAAAAAACCCTGGTGTTTTATGAACTGCTGCATTTTTGTGTGGGAAGGCTGACCACGGGGAAGGGAAGGTTCTTTTGGCTTCTACAATCCCTTTTTTCCCCCCCCAAGGCGGGTATCTTGACCAGTGCCCAAATCACCCAAGTGAACCAGCACGTGAAGGAGCTCCTGGCTGTGATTCGCCCCAATGCAGTGGCCCTGGTGGACTCCTTTGACTTCCATGATGTCCATCTGGGATCTGTGCTTGGCCGCTACGACGGCAACGTCTACGAGAACATGTTCGAGTGGGCAAAGAAATCCCCACTGAACAAAACACAGGTAAGGAAACCTTATTTCATCCTCTTTTCCTCTTCCTCACACGTGCCCAGAGAAATAACTCCATTTAGGGTTGTTAATTATGCTCCAATGATCTCAGCAGGTAATTGATGAAGGGGGGAGAAAAGTCACTGGTGGTAATGGACCAAAACTAGCAACCTGCTTTCAGTTTGCTTTCTATAGTTACTCTCCCACGTGTACCTCATGGGCATCCCTGTGGGATGCTTTTGGGGTTCTCAGTTGAGGGAGGAGATGATACACTCCATAGAGGAACAACTGAATCATCTCATTGAATTTAAAAGCAATTATCACTTGCTGTTGATTCTGCTTAGTGACAGTAGCTGTGAAAGCTTTACCTGTTTTCTGGCAAACCTTCCCGTGTTCAGGCAGTAGCAGTGACCGGAGATGAAAATAAATTGCTCCTGTGTAGTATTTAGGTGTCAGTTGTTGCACATCTGCCCTAAGACTGGAGCTGCAGCTGAGCTAATAAAATAAACTGTGCTGGGAAGAGTCAGTGTCCCTGTTCTATCAGCCAAACTGAATCCTGTCTTGGAGGTGCCTTTATTTAATTAGGACAGACTGTATCTCCTACAACGGGCTGCCAGAGACTGCAGCTGGAGTTAAATCCCACCACAACTTGCTCAATGTTTTGTAATTCTGAAGTCAATGGGGCTTAGGAGCTTCATTACAGTCCCCTTAGGAGACCTCTACCAGTTTTCTTTTAATTAAAATGCCAAATAATTGTATGGATATAAGGTATCTTGCTTTCTTTTCTTAGAAGAAAGGCAGTGGGCAGGATGTTTTTTATATTCTCACGTTTTGTGCCATGTAGACACTCAAATATAGAAATTATTGGCTGTTCTTAAATCTCCAAACTGCCTCTGATTCAAATTTCCTTAGCAAAGAAACACACTGCAAGATGTGAGGAGCTAAAACTGTTTCAAAGACCAGACTTGACCTTGTGACCACTGTCTTGTCCTCTTGCAGGTTCATGAATCTTTCCACAAGCACCTGAAGCCGATGCAAGCCAAGCTGTGAAGCCTGCAGGGTTTTCAAAATGCACTCTTGTCCTGCCCTGAAAACTGGGTGTTTGCATCCTTTCTTCAGGCACCTGAATCAAACCTTTCAAATCCTGTAGCTGTAGGACAGTGAATAATTGTAGCCTTTCTTTTCCACTTTTGTAAATGGAGGAGGTGTTTGGGGAGAGTGAGTAGGGACTGATGCTTGTTTTTAAAGTGCAATTATAATGGTAAAAATTAACCTTTTAAAAATCTGGGAAAGCTTTATGGATTTATACAAGAATTGCTTTTGTGAAGCTGCTAACTAGAGAGAAGTTCCTGTCAACTGGAGAGGGGGCAGGACTTTACTATGAAGTAGTTGACAGCCCTCAGGCAGTAGCTTCTGATGAGCAGTTATGTCCTCCCCCCAAAAAAAAAGTGTCTTGATTTTTTTTTTTTTTAAATTAGCACCACCTCTCTCCTTGTTTGGCAAATATTTGTGCTGTCTGGAGCCTCCTGCATAGCCTTGTGCACGTGAGTCTGTGTGTGGCACTGTTTTCCTGATGTATCTGGGAAGTAAATGCCCATCCTTCTCTGCTGAGCTCTGCTTCAGGAATCTTTCCAGAAGAAATATTCATGTGTCCTTTGTTTTCCAATACATCCTTTCACTGCCTTGCAGAACCTCCTTTTCCCTGTGTGCCACCTCCAGCACTGGCACCTTGCTCCTGGTTAATAAGAAGTCAAAGGAGAACATAGTGATGCTGCTCTGAGGACAAAAAACAACCGGTAGGAATCAGCTGGGTGCTGATAGCAGATGTTCTGCCCCTTTTTTCACTGTTAGTATTTTCTAGCACTATCTCAAAGCACTTTACAAATGTTACTTATGTTTGATTTGGTGGGAAAAAAACCCACATGTAGTGGTAAAAACTGCAAATTTGACCTGGAATGATGAAGCCAGTATTGGAGGGCAGAAATCGGTTGACCAAGGTCCTCGGGTCTTCAGATTGTTCTGGGATCTTGTCCTGGTTTTTAAAGGCATTTGTCAAGAAAACGACAATCCCAAATGAAGTGTCCAGATTTTTTTTTTTTTTCCTAACTGTGCATTTCCAAGGAGCTTTCTCTGATTTGCTTGATTTTGTTTTTATATTGACTTGGGCCTTGCCACGGTGCTTTGACTGAACAGGAAGGATTTATCTTGTAAGAGAACCTCCTGCTGCCCCATGAAATCAGTGCAGCTACAAATAAGCAAAATCATTTGGGCTTTTCCACACCAATAACTGTCCAGTAACCATAAAACCAGATATAAGGGCAGCTTTGAGCTTAAAATGGCAAAAAGCTTCAGCAAAACCCCAAATCCTGCAGGCAACACCTGAGAAGATGCTTCTCTGCAGCTTTTGGTATCTGCTAGTCTCTAATTTTGGATCAGTTTTCATGGATGAGTTTTTTCCTGGCACTAACAATGATCAGACACAATGTTTGGCTCCACGTGCAGTGGCTGAACAGAATGAAATGTTTAATTTTGAATAAACTAATCAAACTTGCCTGTGAGCTGCCGAGTGTTCCAGGTCCCGTGGAAGCACTGCTGTTCAGGATTCCAGAGGACCTCTGCCTTCCATGTGTCCAGTGGAACAGCCTCCTGACCTGGGGAGGGAGGATGGAGGAGCAGGTTAAAAATATGCTAATGAGAACAGTACTAGTTAACTATGTACAGATCTAATAAATTACAAAAATGTGTTTTCAGACAAGATGTCTCTCTTTTCATGCATTGCCTTCAGTGGATCTTGTGTAAAGTAGTGGAGGAAGTAGAATGAAGTATTCAGAAGACCTTTAATTAGTTGGATTTTGGTGTTTTATGTAGTCTGAGCTTTGTGGCTTTGCTGTTCAGTGTTGCAGGGCAGTGATCCCTGTCCCATCCCACAGTGATCCCAGCCTCTCCTGCTCACAACCACAGGAGAAATACCCCTGGCAGAGGGCAGAGCTGGCTGTGGCAGTTCCTTGGTGTCATTATGGCTCATAAACCATCAAAAGCTGGTCACTGCCAACAGCCAAGATTTAACCATGATGTTGGGCAGCAGGATCTTTAATCCACAGAAGCTCTTGTCAGTTGGTTTTTGGGGTTGGCAGTGATGTGTTGGCAAACGCTGTCCTTCCTTGCTGTTGTGAGGACACTGTGCACTTCTTTGTCCTCTTGCTGCTGTTGGTGGTGACCCCCAAGTGCCACAGCCTGGTGTGGTTTGCTATGTCTCGGGCTCTCTCAGAGCCCCTGCAGCCTCCTTGGGACTCATCCACCTTCTGACAGCACATGGTGGTGCCATTTCCACAAGTGCTGAGGCTCTTCTGCTGGAGTAGGAGCGGTTTCAGTGCCAAGCAGTGACACTTGTGACACTTCACTAGTTTGTGACTGTGGGTTCTGCTTGGAACGATGGACTCCTACAAATGCCACCTTTTGGAAAAGACTTTACAAGGACCCCGTGGTCCCAGAGGGACTGGCAGCGTGTGTGGTGAAAGGCAGGTATAAAATACCAGAGGCAGACATTTCCCTGGGGATTTTATGGAAGCAGGAACTGAAGTACAAAAAACGAGGCAGGAGCAGGGCCTTGTCCTGTACCCAGCTTTGGTATGTGCCCTGCCCATGGCATGAAGGAGGGTCTGGGATAGTTCCCTCGGGGGGGAAGGGCGGGGATGGGGAGCCCGGGGGCTGCGGGAACGTTTCTAACCAGGCGCTGCCAGGGGCAGCCCCGCCGCGATGCCCGCGGGGACGGCCCGAGTCAGTGAGGCAGCAGGCGCTGCAGGGGCAGCCCCGTAGCAGCGGGGCCTTCCAAGTCAGGGCTGCGTGACGCAGCGCCCGTCGCCATGGTAACGGGGTCCTTCCCCCAGCCCAGCGCACAAGATGGCGGCGCCCTTGCTGAGCGCGGCTCTGCGCGGGGCCCGGGGCGGGCGGAGCTTCGGAACGGCCGGTGAGGGGGGCAGAGGGCTGGGACCGGTCTGGAGGGGACTGGAGAGGCGGGGGGAGCGCTCCCGGACGCCTGGGTCCCGAACGCCAGGCCCTGTCACCAGCAGTGTCCCCCAGGGTTCAGTGCTGGGCCCAGTGCTGTTTAACTTGTTCATCAGTGACTAGGATGAGGGGTCGGTGCCTCCTCAGCAAGTTCGGTGACACAAAGCTGGGAAGAGTGACCGATACCGCAGGGGGCTGTGCAGCCCTTCAGAAGGACCTCGACAGGTGGGATAGGTGGGCAGAGAGGAACTGTCTGAAGTTCAACAAAGGCAAGTGCAGGGTCCTGCACCTGGGAAGGAATAACCCCAGACTGCAGCACAGGCCGGGGCTGACCAGCTGGAAAAGCAGCTCTTGGAGGTGGAGATGGAGCTGGCGGTCCTGGTGGACAACGAGCTGTCCCTGCCTCAGCAGTGCCTGGGGGGCAGAAGGAGGTCACTGGGCTGGAGGAGGAGGAGTGTTCCCTGGCAAGGAACTCAGCCCTGGCGAGGCCTCACCTGGAGCCTATGTCCAGTTCTGAGCTCCTCGGGATGAGAGAGATTTGGAGCTCCTGGAGAGAGTCCCGTGGAGGGTGACTGAGGTGATCTGGGGACTGGAGCATCTCCCTGACCAGGAAAGGCTGAGAGAGCTGGGGCTGTTCAGCCTTCAGAGGAGACACTGAGACACTCCCCAGTGTGTGTCAGGGTCTGCAGGGACGGGGCAGAGGATGGACCAGGCTCTGCTGGGGGGGCCCTGCAATGGCACAAGAGGAACGGGCAGGAACTGATGCCCAGGAGGCTCCATCTGGACATGAAGAAGATCTTCCTTGTGCAGTGACCCAGCCCTGAACAGAGACCAGAAAGGGTGTGGAGTCTCCTCCCTGGGGATATCCCAGAACCATCTGGACACAACCCTGTGCTGTGTGCTCTGGGATGGCCCTGCTGGAGCAGGGAGGTGGGACCAGATGGGACACTGTGGTCCCTTCCAAGGTGTCCCATCCTGTGATCCTGGGCATCGGTCTGTTCTCCTGGGCAACGAGCAGTAGGACAAGAGGGCACGATCTTAAGCTGTGCCAGGGCAGGTTTAGGTTGGACACTGGGAAGAAATTTCTTCCAGAGAGAGTGATCAGGCATTGGAATGGGCTGCCCAGGGAGGTGATGGAGTCACCATCCCTGGAGGTTTTTAAGAAGAGACTGGATGTGTCATCAGTACCATAGTCTGGTAACCACAGCAGGGTTGGATCAAGGTTGATGATCTCGGAGGTCTTTTCCAGCCCAGTTGATTTTATGATTCTGGGAATGTGGCTGTGGGAGATGGGGGTGGCACAGCCTGGATCATGCTGTTGTTCCACACTCACTCCTCTCTCTCTGTTCCCCCACAGCCGTGCTCTGGAAGAGGGCAGCCCCCCTGGGGCCGATGCCCAACGAGGACATCGATGTCAGTAACTTGGATGCCCTGGAGAAATACCGGAGCTTCACCCGGTACTTCCGGCTGGCGGAGAAGGAGAGCAGGAAGCCCCGGTGGTGGAAGACGTACCATCAGCACACCAACCCCCCCAAAGGTACCCTGGGAGGGGCTGCTGGAGGCCTGGGAAGCTGCTCTGGGGGACATGAGGTTGCCCCCAGACCTGCCCTGTGAGGAGCTCTGGGACAAGGTCAGCCCTTGCACGGTGCAAATGTCTCCTGGGGAAAGGGGTGGCAGTTTTCCAGGAGGGAGGCTGGTCAGGACTTGCCAAAAGTCACAAAGCAAAGAAATGATTCCTTGGAGCCTCAGTAGTGCCACGGAGAGCAGAGCAGGATACAGAGTTCCAGACCTGCAGCAAATGACAGTTGGGCTGCTCCCTGTCCCAAAGCTGGGAATGGGAGGGTGATGAGCTGGGGAAGGAGGAGGAGGAGCCTGGAGGTGCAGAATCAAGTCCTGATCATCCTTTCAAGTCTTTTCTAGTGAAAGGTGTCCCTGCCCATGGCAGGGTTTGGAACTCTGTGGTCTCTAATGTCCCTCCCAACCCAGACCATTCTGTGATTCCACGATCCTGATGTCTGGAAGTTTGTGCCTCTTTCCCACACTTTCAGACATTTCGCAGAGTGTTGTGTTTGGCTGTTTTGGGTGCTCACATATTTCACCTGTGCGATCTTTTCACCCCTGTCTGAAGAGCCACAGACAGACATCAGCCTGCCACGTCAGAGGGTGTCACGGGCCAAGGAGATCAGGGAGAGAAAGGCGATCCTGAGGGGGAACCGCCAGAACGCTGAGATGGAAAGAGCAGCGCGGCTCCAGACGGGTCAGTGCCCCACCACCCCCTCCCTGCCCTGGCTGCCCCAGTGCCCAGCTGTGCCTCTGCAGCCTTCCTGTCTCCCTGCAGTGCTCATTCCCCTCGATGAGGTGAGGGCAGAGTGGGAGAGGACCAGCGGCCCGTTCCACAAGCAGCGCGTGGCCGAGCACTGCGGGGTGTTCAGGGACCTGTTCAAGGGGGCCACCTTCACCCCATGGGTGGCCCTGAGGGTGCACTACAGCCAAGAGGACGAGCACCTCGTGCCAGTCTACTATGGGAACATGGTGACTCCGTCAGAGGTGCGTGAGGGGGGCTGGGAACAGCCTGGACCCCGTGGGAAGCCTGTTCCTGTCTGTCTGTTTCTGTCAGATGCTTCCAGTGTTCCTTTTACTGCAGCATTTCCTCTGTGCTGAAGGAAATGTATTTGATGGACCTGATAAGGACAGATATTTGCAGCAGGATGGTTGTCTGTTAGCAGGCTGATGGTTATTAATGCTCTGGGGGCAATCCAGGTGGAGCTGGATTCCAGTGGCCTGGCTGTGCCCAGTCTTTGTTGTTTTCCAGCCTTGCCTGTGAAAAATTCATGGAACCTGTTGTTTGAGTGATTTACCTTCTCTTTATGTTGCCCTTTTAGGCTTCCAGTCCCCCTGCAGTGTCATACGAGGCAGATAAAGGCTCCCTCTGGACTTTGTTGCTCACAAATCCAGGTAAGCAGAGAGTTCTTTAAAAAAAAACACATTTAAACTGGGTTGTTTCACTCTGCTTTTGGTTAACTCCTGTTTCTTTTGGCTGCATAGTCAAAGGTGATGTGATATCTGCTAGGGAGGGACATGTAATATGTAGGAAAGACTGTAGCCTCCCCATATCTGTAGCAGTTAAGAGAGAGAACAGTGACAAAACAGGACCTGTGTCACACCAACAATTCCCTGACTCCCATCCCAAAATTCCTCTCCCTTGTCAGTCTGCCTGGAAGGCAGGTTTGCTGACACTGTTCACCCTGAGAAACCAAGGCACAGTGAAGGGAAGCAGCTGACTGAGAATATTCCAAGAATCTCAGAATTAGATCTGCAGAGTTCTTTGCTCCTCATTTTAAACTCAATCCTATAGGAATGAGCTCCTTTTGTGATAGGAAAGGAATGCTGGGAGGTCTCAAGGTGCTCCCTCTGATCAAAGCAGGTCTGAGCATTCTCACTTTGGGGTCAATGCAAACACCAGGGGGTCCCTAAGTCACCTTTCTCTGTTGTGTGTTGGCAGATGGACATCTAAGGGACACAGACTCGGAGTACCTGCACTGGCTGGTGTGAGTACAACAGAGCCACGTGCCCTGTGCTCAGGGTGTGGGCAGGAACTCCCCCAACAGCTTGGGAATCCGTGGCTTTCCCTGGTGCCCCTGCCATGAGCTCCTGTAGCCCCCTGTTCTGGGTCCTGCTGAAGATGCAGGAGTTCCAGGTGTTGCTGCTGTTTGGCATTCCAATCACTGGATGGGATTTTTCCTCCAATGAAAGCAGCCTCTGCTATCTGTTCCCTTATCAAATGGGGCAGAAGTCACCTCAAAACGTGGCAGAGTGATTCGCAACCCTGGGTGAATCTGCTGGAGGGAAACGAGTGGATACACAGCAAAGTAAATGTCTTTGTGTTCAGAACCAACATCCCAGGCAATGACATCAAGTCAGGAAAGGAGATTTGCCACTACCTGCCCCCCTTCCCTGCCATGGGGACTGGCTACCATCGCTTCATCTTCCTTCTCTTCAAGCAAGACCATCCCATCGACTTCCGCGAGGACACTCGGCCGACGCCGTGGTAATTCTGCTGTTGCTGCTTGTTGTGTTCATCTGCCTGTCACTGCAGTAGGAGGGCAGTTCCTATCACTCCACAGGGCTGCTTTGGGTTTGTGTGTCCCCTGCAGCCACAATCCCAGCCCCACAGAGTCCTGTTGCTGTGGAACTGGACTGGGACAGAAATGTGCACAGAGCTGGAGACACTGGGAGATTTCCTTTTGCTGGCTCCATTTTCCCTCTGTTTCATAGGCTCTGGGGCAATGTGGAGCAGTTGCCTTCCCAGGGTGCTGCTGCAGGGAGAGGTTCACCTCAGCCCTTGTGCTTGTGTCTTGTTTCCAGCTACAGCCTCAAGATGAGAACCTTCAGCACGTTTGACTTCTACAGAAAGCACGAGGATGCCATAACCCCAGCAGGGCTGGCCTTCTTCCAGTGTCGGTGGGACAGCTCTGTCACTTCCATCTTCCATCAGCTGCTCAGTAAGGAATGAATGCAGTGTGTGGGGATGCTGGAGGGGGCGGGTGGGACACGATCCCATGTGGCTGCAGGCTCTCACTCAGGCCTGGGATGTGTCTGGGATCGGCATGGACTGGGTCCTCCCTGAGCCACCCTCCTCCAAACGGCAGTCTGAGGGAACAGCCTCTAAAAGGCTGCTTGGAATGAGCAGCCCTGTTCCCGTGGGGGTGGAAGGGGGCCTGGGTTGGGATCTGAGGCCTCGTGCTGAGGTTGTGGGTCCCTCCTTTGCAGACATGAGGGAGCCGATATTCGAGTTCGTGCGCCCGCCCGTGTACCACCCTCGCCAGCTGAAGTTCCCACGCCAGCAGCCCCTGAGGTACCTGGACAGGTACCGGGACACAGACGAGCCCACCTATGGCATTTACTAGGAGCTGGCCCCCTCCCAGCGCTCTGTGCCCGCTGGGATGCTGCCTCCCAGCTTTCGTGCACTCCCTCAGCGCCTCTGGAGGGAGGTGACAAAGTCTCAGCCCCTCAGCTCCCAGATCCCCTGGGAAAGGCAGCCAAGGGCAGCAGGTGCTCACAGTGCTGGAGCTGCGTGGTCAAGAGGCTGCTTAACGAGGACATTCGAAGTGAATCCAGGCTGAAATCTTGCTCCTGATTCTGCAGCAGAGCTGATCAGTGGCTGGCAGGGTAGAGTCCCCCCAGAGATGCCCTGCCTTGCTTCTCTGCACGGATCACAGTTCTCCTTTTGCCTGTTTAGGGAACAAACAGAGCCAGGCCAGCCTGGATTTCCTCCTCTTAACAGCGCTGCAGTTCAGGGCTGTGTCAGCCTTTATTTGTGCAGTCCCCTTGGAGAGATGAGCCTGATTAAACACACTCTGAGAAGTGTTGGCAGAGCTGTCTTTATTGGGAAGAGCCTGTTATCCCAGCCAGCTGGCACGGAGCTGGGGAGCTCAGCAGAGTGCAGGGGAGAAGGGCAGCCCTTCGCCTGGCTGGACCACTTTCCCTCTTGGATGTTGTAGGTTGGGAAGTGTTTGGCTACACAGGTGGTAAACCTGCACAAGGTCAGGGTTTGTGGATCTGGCTTCAGCTGCCCAAGCACACGGACCTCAGTGTCCTTCCCCTCACTCCCTGGACAGGATGTACCTGGTGTGGACAGGTGGAGCACAAGCACAGCTGCTGGGGTTGGGGCAGACCTGTGGTGGTGTCCTGTTCCGAGGCTGTGGAGTTCCTCTGCTTTCTGCTGTGCTCTCCAGGGCTCTCCCTGTTCACGTTTAATCCCCAAAATACCAACGTCCTCCTGCTGTTAGAGCTGCCTGTTCCCAGCTCTGCTTCCCAGTGACTTTCTCTGCAGGTCCCCCTTTCCTCAGCAAACACCTGAGACGGGGCTGAAGTGTCCCCTTACTGCTGGTACTCCAGGTTGTTACAGCTTCCCTGGAGCTCCCTGAACTCCCCTCCCACCCTGAAGGGTTCTGGGGTCTAGTTTAAGCCTGGGGGAGGGTGTTGGAGAGGTGCCCACAGGTTGTGTTATGCCCTTCTCTGAGCTTTGAACATTTGGTCAGAATTTGTAGATCCAGCCCAAAGAAATGTCTTGGGGACTGAAGCTCTGCTGGAACGTGCAGGGAGTTGTGACAGGTCCCAGGGGTGGTCTGGGGGGTGGCTCTGAGCCTACCTGTGGTACAGAAGCTGCTCCAACAATCCAGGAGCCCCCTGGTGAGCACCCTGGCTGCACCACAGACCTGCTCCCTGCTTCCCCTCACCTGTGCAGGTGAAAGTGAAGCTGTTCATGAGGGGAGGCTGCAGAGCTGCTGCCAACTGAGGTTATCCTGCAGTGTCAGCAGCCTGGGAGTGCGTGCAAGCAATAACACAGCAGCGGGTACAGAGATAAGGGTTGGGTGGGGATTTTGGGTGGTGCTCCTCCTGAAACTGAACTGTGTGACAAGGTGAAGGTGTGCAGTGCACAGACAGTCACACAGAAGGCTCCACCTGCCCCCTGAGCAGGGACTGGTGGCCCAGGTGACATCTTTGTTGTGTTTCAGGGTGCTGATGCACACGGGTGTTGCAAGGAAGTTCGTAGGAAAAGGTGTGGTGGGTGTGCACGGGGACATGCGCAAACAGCAGGAGCTGGAGTTCAAAATGGAACGATGCAAGGGTGGAATGTGGCCCTGGCTGGTGCTGGTGTGTGTCACAGCCGTGTCGCTGCAGAGGGAGGTGACACGTGGCTGTAGCAGCGGTGGGTGCCTCTCTGCTGGTTCTCACTGTACCGAGGTCTCTGTGCCAGGGGGAGCTGCCGTGCTGTGCTAGGGGATCCAGCCCTGGCAGAGGTGAGGATGCCTGGGAGTTCCCTGAAAGGGCAATAAAGGAATGAAATCCAGCTGCACATCGATATGTACCTGTGCAAGCACATTCACGGAGGTACACATTGATCTGATCCCTGTCAGCCTCCTGCGTGTGTCCCTGTGCTGCCACTGCAGCATTCCATCCTCTCCAGAGCCTCCTGCTCTGCTTCACAGCCTTCCCTCTCCCCGAGGGGAGCAGCTCCAACCCTCCCTGTCACCTCGTCTCCCCAGCGTGTGGCACACCCAGCGTGGCCAGCGGGCACCCACTGGGTGTCTCTTTAAGAGCACGTCCGGCTGGGAGCCCTGACCCGCCTCCGGGCACAGCGTCACCATCTCCTCCTCCCCTGCACAGCTGAGTTTCTGTTTCTCCGGATCCTCGCCCCGATCCCCGGCACAGGCAGGATGGCATCCCTCGTCTCGCTGAAGCTGGAGGAGAAGCTGGTGTGCTCCATCTGCCTGGACCTGTTCAGGGTGCCCGTGACTTTGCCCTGCGGCCACAACTTCTGCAAGGGCTGCATCAGCGACCACTGGCACAAGCGAGAGCGGGCGCCCGGCGGGGCCGAGAAGGGCTATACATGCCCCGAGTGCCGCAGGGACTTCGAGCAGTGCCCGGAGCTGGAGAAGAACGTCACCCTGTACAGCGTGGTGGAGCTGGCGAGGGACGGGGACGCGCGGGGCGCGGGCGCGGGGAGGTGCGAGGTGGCCCCGGGCGAGCTGTGCCCGCAGCACGGGCGCCCGCTGGAGCTGTACTGCGAGGACGAGAGGCGCTGCATCTGCTGCGTCTGCATCGTCCGGCAGTGCCAGGGGCACCGGCTGGTGCTCTTCGAGAAGGAACGGTCCAAAAAGCAGGTGGGGACGATGGGCGGCAGGGATGGGGCGATGGGAGAGCGAGCAAGGGGAGTCACAGCAGCTCGGGCATTCACTGCCCCGTGCCCTGCTGGGGGGATGTGATGTGCCTCCGGGTGCCAGGCTGTGCTCGGCCTCAGCTGAATAGGGGGTTTGCCAGGAGGTGCCACCAGTGCCCTGCTGCTCTCTGAGAAACCAGGTGCTGTCAGGAGCAGCAGCGAGCTGGGTAAATCCAGCAGCGCTGGATGAACGGTGATATATGTGTTTATGATCCTCTGATCTAGAGAAAATAGATAAAAAAGAGGTGAAAGACAGCACAGAAAATCACTTCTTGGTGACCCTGATGCAGTGTCCCCTTCCCAAGGCTTCTCCCTCCCCATTAGCCTTGTCCTGCAGCCCTGAGAGGGCTCCTGGGAGCCAGGTGGGCAGCAGTGCTGCACTGCAGGATATGCAATGGGACACAACTGGAAGAAAGGACTGGGCATGGCACTTAGTGCTGTGGATTAGTTGGTGGTGTTCAGCCAAAGGTTGGACTTAATGACCTTGGGGGTCTTTTGATTCTGTATTGGTGCCTCTCTTCACAGATCATTTTGAAAGAGTCCCTGGAAAAAGCACAGGAGGAATCGGAGCGGATCGAGCGGGCGATGCAGGAGCTGGAGGAGCAAACACGCAGCATCAAGGTAGTGCTGTGGCCACCTCTGTGCTGGGCACGTGGGTGGGAGCACACTGGCTCTTATGGCTCTTCCCTACCCAGGACTCCTCCGAGGAGCTCAAATCTCAGATCCGGAGCAAATTGGCCCACCTGAAGAAAGCTCTGGAGGATTTCGAGGGTCAGTCGGTGGCCAGGATCGAGCAAGAGCAGGTGGTGGCACTGGGGCGCGTGGAGGAGAACTGGAGCCTCCTGAAGGACAGGCTGGATGTCCTTGGCCAGCACAGGGAGAGGGCTCAGAGCCTGCTGGCCTGCCCTGACCACAGGACCTTCCTCCAGGTACCATCCTGACGCTGTGTCCCTCCCTGTGCCTGGGCACTGCCAGCCCTGCACCCTTTCAGTGAGGGCAGAGGTGTGTTCAGCCCCTTTCCCAGGGGGAACACATCCTCAGCCCGGCTCAGGGATGTGATGGGGCTGTGGGGAAGAGGTGTTCTGGTGGGACTTGTGTGGGCAGTGCTGTGATCCCGCTGTCACCCACTGGGGAGTCACAGTGTGTGCACATGGATTCGCACAGTCCTCCCCAGGCTGGTGCATGGCTGTCTGTGTGTCTGTCCACAGGAGTTCCCCCTTCTCCCACCTCTGGAGAGCCCAGAGGCGCTGGTCCCCGTGGAGTTTGATGTGGCTCATGTGATCAAGCCCATCTCTGACATCCTCACCGGCATCTCCAGGCTCCTGCTGGAGGACCTGCCTGGCTCTGTGGCCCCCAAAGCCCCCAGTCCTGCTGGCCAAGGTAGTCCTACTGCTCTCAGGGCCACCGAGTCATCCTGAATCCCAGCCTGGCCCACATCATGGTGACAGGGACTCGGCTGTCAGGCTCAGGGGGTTGGGATGGGGACACATCTACTGTTCAGCAGATGGGGTGGGATGAACTGGGTGGCTTCCCCATGTCCCCTCCTTGCTGGGAATGCTGAAACAAGTGGGCACATGCCTGCTTCCAGGCTTGGATATGATGGACTTCCTCTTCCTCCTCCCCCTCCCATGAAGAGGAAGAAATAAGTTTTTTGGGTGGCATCACTCAAAATGCCTGTTCCCATCCTCCACAGGCCCAGTGCATCCCCAGGCGCCAGCGGTGAAGGTCTTGAATCCTCTCCCTGAGTGCCAGCTCCGAGCTGAGCTTCTGAAAGGTGAGGAGCACAGGAGGGCCTGGAGGGACAGGGGGACCCAGCTGGGGTCCTCAGCAGGCAGAGATGTCACCAAGCTGGGCTCCTCCCTGGGAGAAGGATGGTTGTGGCTGCGGGGACAGGGGTTCCTTCCACGGTTCTACCAATCTCTCTCCCTAAATGTGGGATGGGGTGGATGGGCTGGGGGACATTGTGTGTGTGTGAAAGGGCTTATTAGGGGGATTAGCAGCACCAGGGAGTGCTTTCCCCTGGAAACTGGAGCTGCCTGGTATTGGATCAGTCACTGCCCTGCACGGCACAGCCCTAGTCCAGTGCCCTACCTGCAGTCATTGCTCTCTATCCAGGGATATGGCCTCAGCATTCCCTGTCACAGTCCTTCATATTCCCTCCCCTTCCCCAGCCCATCCCGCTCCAGTTCCTTAGGGATTTCCTCACTGCTCCTTTTCCCATCTCCTCCCTGTTGGGAAGAGGGTTGGGCAAAGTTCAGGGAATGTTGGTCACGTCACTCTTGCCAGTGAGGCAATCACTGCCTATGGGACCTTTAATTCCTTTTATTAGTCCCACAAAAAACGTTCTTAGGGTTATTAATAGGAAAACCCCCGTTATTTATGGGCAGAAGGCAGGAGCCCAGTGAGCTGTGGGCCAGGTTGCTGTGGGAGGAAGGTGATGTGCTGGTGACCAGTGAATGCCCATGGCAGGAGTTACAACAGCCCATGCACAAGAGAGTAACTCCCTGCAATACTATATTTATTTGCCTGGTTTTCTCCCCCCCTCGCCACCCACACTCGTATTTTTTGCTCATAAAACCAAGATCTCTTCCAAAATGGCCATGGAGCCGCTGGTACTTGCTGGCTGTGGGCTGGGCTGTGCAAGGACTGTGTGAAGCATCGTGTCTCAGTGCCTTGCCAGCTCTGGGCTGCTTCTCTCCCTTCCAGGGCAGGTATCTCATCTCACCCCGCTCACCTTCCCCTCCAAACAAACTTGTTCTCTTCTGTTTCGGGAGCCAGCCCTACACAGTTTAAACCCCATCACTGCTGGGGGGGGGGGTGTGTCACACCAGGGGCATAAAGATCTGATTAAGCTTTTCAGCCCCACCCATGCTGTTGCTCTTCCCAGACCACCGCAACCTGACCTTCCATCTCGAGACGGCCAACAAGTACCTGGAGCTGTCGAGAGGTGCCCGGAAAGCCAAGCACTGCACCATCCCCATGTACAGGGGACAGGGACCCCGCTTCGAGCCCTGGCAGGTGCTGTGCACGCAGAGCTACGGCCAAGGACACCACTACTGGGAGGTGGAGATCTCCAGCCACTCCGTCATCCTGGGGGTGACTTACTGGGGCCTCCCCTGGGAGCAGCAGCGGGGCCACAAGTTCAACATCGGGCTGGACGGGGGCTCGTGGGGGCTGCAGGTGCGGGAGGATTGTTACCTGGCCTGGCATAACGGCCAGGCGGAGAAAATCCAGGAGCAGCTGTACAAGAACCTGGGGGTCAGCCTGGATTATGGCAAGGGACTCCTCTCCTTCTATGGCCTCGGGGAGAAGATGCAGCTCATCCACTCCTTCCACGATGTCTTCACGAAGCCCCTCTACCCTGTGTTTTGGCTGTGTGAGGGCCGAGTGGTGACGCTGTGCTGGAGGGACCGAGCTAGAGCCGCCACACTGATCCATCAGCCGGGCTGGTGCCACAGCCAGGACCTGTCACAGTGCAGGAGGGACCTCGATGCCGAGGCAGGCACGGCACGTGGTGCAATATTTTAACGAGAGCTGATGAGGACAGACATGAAAATTAACCGATTTAATTTGCATATGCAAATATCACGCTGCTGAGGAAGGGAAGGGGAAGGAGGCAGGGCTGGAGTTCATCCTAGGGGCGAAGCCCCTGGTCACTGTGTGTGGGGGCACATGTGGGTGTCTGTCCCTGCAGACGAAGCAAGGAAGGGGGAAACGGAGTGAAAGAATTAAGTTTTCCTCTTTCTCCTATCCCTGCCAAACCTCCCAAGCCTGGAGAATATTTGGGGTGAGGAAGAGCATAGAAAGGGTGCTGCTGCCACAGTGTGCTGTGGAGCAATGCAGAGGGAGCCCTGTGCTTGCCCAGCCTCACATGCAGGCAGGTCCTGCTCCCCCAGCCCCTCCCAGTCCCCTCTTGCCACTCTTGGACATGCCAGAGGAACTGTTCATGATTCTATGCTGCAGTTCTTTGTATGATGCTGCTTTTCTCAATAAAGCTCTACTTCCCTACAGGTTTGACCTTAGTGCTGGTGGGAGATACAGGACCAAGCAGCATAGGGGGAAGGGGAGGGAAGCTGGGTGCCCCTGTTCCCGCACCCATCCCTGCAGGGCCCCATCCTGCCCCTTCATGTCCTCGAGGGGTTGGTGACCAGCCCCTTGGAGGGACCAGCTGGCGGAAGAACCAAAAGGTCCTTTATTTACCGCAGCACTGTGATAAGGAAACCTGGTTTCCTATGGCTCTGCCCCAAGGCTGATCTGGCACAGAAGAAAATTCTGAAGTTTTGATTGAAGCTTTTCCAAGGGCGAGACCGCAGGTCCGGCGCCTCCTCCCGCTCCCTCAGGAATGCTGGTGAGGGATAACGGGGTGAAACTGGGCACTGGGATCAAAGGTGCTGGGGACGTGCAGGTGAATGCATGGGGAATGAATAACATCATTGTTTCCTTTGGGGACAAAAGGCTTAAAAGGATCAAACCCCTTCTGCAAGAACAGATGTGATTTTTCTTGCCATGTTTCCTCCTTCACTCCACACCTCCCCACCCTCCCAGCCCTGTCCTTGGGCCAGCGTGGACCTGGGAACTTATCCAAGTCAAAAAATGGTCTGCACAGGAGGGGTCTGGAGACACCATACTTATGAGGCAGATCCTCACACTCAAAGCACTTTGGTGTCTCCCCATCTCTGCTTGGTGTCTTATGGGCCCTGGAGGAAGAGGGGACATGGACTGAGCCAGCCCTTTTTTCCATGGGTCCAAGGGCACGGGGCTGGCAGGAAAGCACCCGCAGTTATGCACGGGGGGGGGGAGGACCTCCCATACGGCCTCAAGGTGGGGAGCAGCTCCTGGGGAGCAGTGGGGTGGCAGCAGGTCCTGGGGTAAGGGGATGCTCACAGAGGACAGCAGACCCTTTGGGGTGGGTTTGGAATGGGCTGGCTACAGCTTCCCGGGATGGGAGATTTGGGGAGGGACAGCAGCTTCCCCTGGGAGCAGCAGAACCCTGGGAAGAGTCCAGATCCCAGTGGGGTAGATCCTTTAGGACGTGGCAGACCTCCCCCAGACGCTGGGGGGACAGTACATCTTTATCGGGGTGGCATCCCCCGGAGGGCTGGGGGGCAGATCTCCCTGAAGGCAGCAGATGCCGGGGAGAGGAAGCAGATGCCCGGTGGGGGTAAATCCCAGGGGTGAGAACTCGCCAGGAAGACGAGTGACTGGGAAGCAGGTCCAGGGGGTGAGACACCCTCAGGAACGCGGGTGCCTGGGGACCAGGTCCAGAGGGTGATGGTGCGGGTCAGCCCCCAGCCCCCGCGGCGAGCGGAGCCCCAGCTGGGCGCAGGGAGGCGGAGCGGGCGGGCGGGGCGCGGCAGCCGCCCGCCCCCGCCGGGGCTGGGACCGGGGCCGGGGCCGCTCGGGGCGTTCAGGGATGGATGCTGCGCCCGGGAGTGCCCCGCCGTCCTCCGCCGCGGCGTTGCGGCTGGCGCTGGCGGCTCCGGGGCTGCCCGAGGGTCCCCTCGGCTGCCCTATCTGCCTGGACGTGCTGCGGGACCCGGTGACGGTGCCGTGCGGGCACAACTTCTGCCAGGGCTGCCTGCGGGCGCTCCGCCAGCAGCCGGGCCCCCCCGACGGCGGCGGGGCGGGCGGGGCCGCCCGCTGCCCGCTCTGCCAGGAGCCCGTCCCCGCGTCCCTGCGGCTCCGCAAGAACCGCGCCCTCTGCGAGCTCCTGCCGCTGCTGGCGGCCGCCACCGGCGGCTCGTCCCCGCCGTCGCCGATGGCCCCGGGAGCCGAGGAGGAGGATGGCGGAGGGGAGGCGGGAGCGGCGGTGCTGTGCGACGTGTGCCCGCCGGGGTCGCGGGCGGCGGCGGCGCGGTCGTGCCTGGTGTGCCTGGCGTCGTTCTGCGGAGCCCACCTGGAGCCGCACCGCCGCGCCCCCGCCTTCCGCGCCCACCGCCTCGTGGCCCCGCTGCGCCGGCTGGAGGAGGGGCTGTGCCCCCGCCACCTGCAGCCCCTCGACGGCTTCTGCCGCGCCGAGCAGACCTGCGTGTGCGCCCGCTGCCGCGCCCACGAGCATCGCGCCCACGACGTGGTGCCCCTCGAGCAGGAGCGGGAGCACAAGGAGGTGCGTGCGGGTGGGTGTGTGGGAGGGGGGGTGCGCGGAGGTCCCCCGCGTGGGCGGGACCCTGGCGTGGGGGTGTCCTGGGTGGGGTGGGGTGCAGCGTCCCTTGGAGGGTTTCATGCCGCACCCCTGTCCCCAGCGGGGAGCCTAAATCGCCACGTGGGGTGTGTGCAGGTGCCGCGCTGGTGGGATGGCGTGTGTGGGGTGGTGCTGTAGCCCACACCCCTCGGGGGACCCCACCCCGTATGGACAGGGTGCTGTGCCGTCGGGGAACCCCGTGAGGTGGGGACAGGATGGGCAGCTGGGGACCCGCTGCCAGCCGGCCCCTGGGGATTTTTCCCACTGTGGAAATCCCGTGGGTGTAGGGCTGGGGTGGGGGTGCCTGGGACACCCTACAGTGGCCGCCCCCGCGGTCACAGGGCACCCGCCTCCCCCGTCTTGTTCCCACAGCTCCGTCGAGGCGGTTTTTCCCGACTCCTGGCAGCCTGCCCGGCCGCCGCTCCCGCTCCCCCAGCCCTTTGTATCCCGGCGTTTTGGCAGCGGGTTTTTTTTCCATCACTCCCATTCCCAGATGTGACTGAGTCACCTCCTAAATTCACACCCACGAGCCTCCCCGGGAGTCGGGGCTCCAAGCCCAACGTGGTGCTGCCTTCCTGGACGCTGGTGCCTCAAATGTGTGGGGCCTCTGTGGGGCTGCAGGCAGATGGGAGTCTTTAAGGCTTGCGGTGTGGTGGCACCCTGCATCGGGATGAGGCATTTGGGGACCTTGGTAGGGTTTGCTTTTTCCAAGGAAGAGCCCGGGGGCTGTGGACATGCTGGCAGGGAGCACAGAAACAACCCCAAGCCAGCTCTCACTCTCTCGCGGGTTCTTGGGATTGCAGGAAAACCCTTTTGTCGGCATTATTAGTCATCAGGTGCCTTAAAATAGAAAGTGAGTGTGATCCCAGCCCGGGGGAGCTGTCAGACCTCAGCAGACACTGCTTAACGTCTCCTAGATGGCCTCTGCCACTGCCCTTGCGCTGCAGGCTGGGAAGGATGGACGGGGAAAGCACCTGTATCCCCTCACTGGGGACAAGCACTGCAGAGAGCAGGGCCAGGAGGCCGAGCATGAGCGGGGATCTGCCCCGGTTGGGAAGTGCAGTGCCCTCCTGGCTCCCCAGGGAGCTCGTGATGGGCAATGGCTGGCGCCAACAATAGCACGCCAGGAAATGACGTGTTCGGAAGGTGCTTCCTTTGCGGCCATGCAGCACCTCTGTGCTCCAGAGCTGGTTTGCTTTGCTCCTAAAGAGGAACCCCCAGGGGACTCTGTGCTGTGTTTCTGAGTGGTCCAGTTCTCCCTTTCAGCTTCTCCACCAGTCCCAGGTGTATTTTCCCCAGCCTTGGGATACACACTGAGAGCACACGGCTTAGCTGCGCTTGCTGCAATCACTGCCCGATGGGTTTGCTTTCAAATTCCTGTTTGTTTGGTTTCCGCTGGGACCAGGGTGGGGAGCATGGAACTGGACATGACCCTTTGTAGCCCGGCTGCTCCTTTAAAGGTTTCCCAGCCCAGGGAGAAGGGATGTTTGCAGGTTGGATGTTGCAGGGAAGGAAAACAGGAAAACAACTCATGGTTCCCCCTGGGTCCTTCACTCGAAGCCTGACAGCAAGGTCGTGGTCAGAGAGGGTTGAACTTAGGGAGAGGCTGGGTGTCCTGCAGCTCCCTGTGGGATCAGGGGCAAAGCTCAGTGTTTGTCCCTTGTGTCCACAGGCCCAACAAGCCAAATTCCTCAGCGATGTGGAGAACGAGCTGGAGGAGCTGGCAGTCACCATCGCGCAGGCCAAGAAGTTGGTGGAGCTCATTAAGGTGACTGTGCCATGGCTTTGCTCTGCTAGTGCAGCTCTGCTGGGCTGGGGAGCGAGGGGAAGGGGCTGTGAGCTTTTGGGGTGTGTGGGGTGTAGAATTGGTGCTCACAGGGCAACGTGCTCCATAAAACCACAGTGACCCTGGCAAGGATCCCTGAGGATTCTTTGCTCCTCATCTCTGCTAACCCTCACGGCATCTCTGGTTGCTTTTGTTTGCAAACTGGAAGAAGGAACAGGGCAAGGACTATGCCAGGGCATCCTCTGGCTCTTCCACCATTTCTCCTCGGGCTCACAGGGGTTTGGTCCCCTTTGGCCCTTGTGCCACCACGTCACTTCTCTGCCTGGGGACACCAGGCGTGGTGCAGCAGTTAAGTGGCTGTGCCCAGCCAGATCCCTTGATAGCTGAGCTCTGAAATGATCTGAGTTCTTGGATGAAGGGACTGACAGGGTGTCAGGGGGACCCCAGAGAGCTGAGAGGTGGGTGCTGGGCAGGGGACAAGAGTGACCTCCTGCACCTTCACCTGTGGGACCTGACCTCTCTCTCACTGCACTCAGGGTGCTGCCACGAAGGAGAAGGAAAGGGTCGAGAGGCTCTTTGCAGAAGCCTCTGAGGTCCTGGCAACCTTCCAGAAGGAGGTGACAGGTTTCATCGAGGCCGGGGAGCGCTCCATGCTGGGGGAGGCTGAGGCTGATCTCCATTGGAAGGAGGAGAGACGAGCCAAGCTGGCCCAGGGCAAGCAAAACCTGGAGAACGTCACCAGCACTGACACCATCTACTTCCTCCAGGTGGGATGGGGCAAGAAGGAGCCAGTAGTATTGTCTTTTGGGGTTTTGTCCCATTTCCTGAGGAGCTGGGGGTGAGGAGCCCTGGGATGTGTGGGCTGTAGAGTCTCGCTGCTGTTGGCACAGTCTCCCCTCCCCACTCCCAGGAGGACCAGGCAGCCAAGACTTTCTCCTCCATCCTGTCTGTGACTCAGGGGAAGCTGATGTGCTGCCCAGGCTGGGTACCTGGGCATGAGGGGCAGAGAACAAGAGATTGGGGTGCCCCACTGACCCCCTCTAGCCTTCCCCCCTCCCTGACAACCCAGCAAGAAGAGACCTTTTCGGGAGGAGATGCTGCTCCATGTGAGGTGGACATGGTCTGGGTCCAGGTTTGAAAGGGAGCTAAGAGCAGGTTCCAGGAACATGTGGCTGGGAAAGAGCTCTCCTCCCTTGTGAAGGCTGTCCTTGGGCCAAGTCCATCAGAGCTGCCAGTTCCCAAATCCTCCAGGGCTGGGTGGGGTTGCGGAACAAGAGACAACTTTGGCTTGTTTGAAAACTCCTGAAACTCCGTCTTTTTTGGCTCAGGAATTTCAGGCCTTAAAAGTAGCCATGGAAGAAAAGCTCTCCCCAGCTCCAAGCTTCCAGAACGAGCTGAACTTCACCAAGTGCACCCAAGTCGTGGGTGCCGTGAAGGATGTGCTGTCCACTGCCTGCAAAAACCAGTGGAACCACTTGCAGGGGAAAGGAATTGATGGGCTGAACTACCAGGAGATGGAGGAAGGTTTGTGCTCACCCAGTGCCTCTGCCTGGAGGTCTCCCCATCACCCTTCCCCTCCTCCCTGCATAGCTGGGAGATGTCTGTGGGCTCGATGTCCCCCACGAGCACTGGCCCCTCTCCCTCCAGCCCTGGAAGCTGCTCAGCACGGGTTCCCTGCACGTTGCACAATCCCTGTCTGGGCTTACGCCTCTTTGAGGTTTTGTGAATTTTTCCACAGAGACCGGAGGCTGGAGAGGCAACAAACAGCCTGGGAGTTAGGCAGGGCCCAGCAGGAGAGGGCAAGTGGCCAAAGTGGCCTCCCGTGAAAGGGGACTCTTCTTCCCAGGATAGATGATCCTCTTCATGGGGCAAGCTGTGATCTCCCAAGGATAGAAAGCCAGTGTGGCAGCTCTCTCCCGTGCTCTCTCATTTAACCTGAGCTCTCTCCTCACTCATTTGCTCAGATTCCCATGGGAATTGCAGCCAGTTCCTTGCCCCGCTGCCCGTCTCCCTGGGGTGGCAGAGGTGGTGTCTGTCCTTTTGTGTGTGGGAGCCATCAGGGATGTGCAGGGGGAGTGGGGATGCAGGAGGCACGGGGGCCACGTCAGCTGGGTACCACCAGGGTGCTGGGCGGGGGGTGATGCTGCAGTAACACCCTTGTTGGTTTGGTTCCTTGGCTGATGCAAACCCTTCCGTCCCTGTCTCTGCAGTGTTGGCTGAATCCCGGTTTCCAGACAAGTCAAACAATCCCGCCTGCCTGGAGAGCCGTGATTATTTCCTGAAATGTAAGTGAGGGATTTCTGCTTTGACAGTTGTTGCTAAGGTCCACCTTCCCTTTCCTCTCTCCTTCCCACATGCCCGGCCGGCGCTGATCCTGAGCCGACAGCTGGCAGGAGCGCTGCCACCACCAGAGGAAATATTGCTTGGCAAACAAGGAAGCCTCCTTGCTTTCCTGACAACGGTCATAATCTGGTTATACTGGTGATACTTTTTTTCCCTTGTCTGTGGTTCTGCTGGCCCAACTGCCCAGGGGGGGCTGAAGGCATCCTGTGTAATTCCTGCCGCCTTCCAGCCCTTGACAAAATTGGATCCTCCACTAAATTAGATCAGAGTTTGTGCATCTGCCTTGTTTGCTGCAGAGCACTGGGCTAGTGAGGGTCAGCTGCAGCATGAGAGGGATCATGCAGTGGCTGAGCAGGGTGGGGCACAAGGGGCTGAGGCTGGAGGGTGCAGGGCTGGGCTTGAGCTCCCACACTCCATGTGTGTGTCCCCCCAGCCTTACAAGGGTTATGGGGTCACCACAGGGATGTCCACAGGGGACAAGATCTGCCTTGGTAGCACAGTGCAGCCCACTGGGATCTGTGCTCAAGCTTGGTGTGCTCTGCTGCTGCTGAGTGGGTTGGGACACACTGTGGTTCAGACGTGCAATGCAAGCGATAGCAACAGATATCCAGGGCTGTTCCCACTGGATCTGTTTGTGATCCACTGGTGGTTTTCATATGGCCTTGCATGTTGGGGGCTGCATCTGCTCCTGTGGGAGCCACAGTGCACTGCAAGCTGACCACAAGGAGCAGTCAGTTTGTAGCTGTGATGTGCCCGATTGGTCTCCTGTCTTCTCAGGGTCTCTCCCTGCCAGGTTTGTCTGTGGTTACCTGAAATCTGCTTTTATATGGGATTTTCCTACCACCACTCTGTCAGGTGGATGCTCTGATGTCATGGTATCATAGTTGAGCTCACTGAGCAGCCCCTCTGTTCCTTCCTCTGCCCTGTATTCATCCTGCTTATGAGAGTATCAGCTCTTTCAGTCCCTGATCCTCATTGACTGAAATTTGACACGGGATTTAAAAGCAAGGGGAGTGACAGGACAAGTCAGAAAGGATCATGCTATTTGTCAAAGGCTGGGGCAGAGGGATCAGAGCAGGGAGGGCTGGGAGGATTTCCCTCCTCATCCTCATTTCTCCTTCTTGCCCCACCCAGTTGCCTTCATCATTGACCTGGACAGCGACACGGCTGACAAGTTCATCCAGCTGTTCGGCACCAAAGGGGCCAAGCGGGTGCTGTGCCCCATCCCCTACCCGGAGAGCCCGACCCGCTTCATCAACTGTGAGCAGGTGCTGGGTTTGAACCTCATGAACAGGGGCAACTACTACTGGGAGGTGGAGCTCATCGATGGCTGGGTCAGCATCGGGGTCATCGCCGAGGACTTCGACCCGCGGGAGGCCTACAACCGGGGCCGCCTGGGCCGCAATGACAGGTCCTGCTGCCTCCAGTGGAACGGGCAGAACTACGTGGCCTGGTTTGGGGGCTTTGAGTCCGTCATCCAGCAGCCGTTCTTCCAAACGATCGGGGTCTTCCTGGAATATTCGGAAAAGGCCTTAACCTTCTACGGAGTCAAGGACTCCAAGATGACCTGCCTGCAGCAGCTCAAGGTCTCCCCTTTCACCAAGGGAAAGGCTGACCCGTTCCAGAACAAGATCAACCACCACTTTGGCTCTCTCTTCTCGTGCAAGCTGAAACCAGCCTTCTTCCTGGAGAGTGTCGATGCCCACCTGCAGATCGGGCCGCTGAAGAAGGACTGTGTCTCGGTGCTAAAGCGCCGGTAACTGCCCGGACAGCGGGAGCGCAGGAAGGCCCAGAAAAGTCTCTCCTGCAGGTTATTGCCACCATCACGGCCTCCCTTTGTCTGTCTTTGTGGCAGCCCTCCCTCCTCTCTGTGCTGTTGGTGACCCAGGGCTGGATGAAGCCGTCTGGCGGGCAGAGCCATGGGCTGGGAGCCAGGATAGGGCTGCATCTGAGCGCCGGCTCTGCCGCTGGGCTGCTGAGTGAACTTGGGTGAGTCTCTGTGCTGCTCCCTGCCCCTCAGCTTCCCTTTCTGGACATCAGGGACTGTGACAAGCCTTTCTTGGTAAAGTGTGCTGCTCGGGAGAAGTGCCACATGGGTTTGAAGCTGTACCTTGGCCAGCTGCCCAGTCCCCCTCCTTCCCATGTGCTCGCACTGCCCTGGCGACTTGCACAGATGCTCTGCTTTGTGCCTTATCTCGGGCTCTGTGTCACTGATGCTTTTTTAAGTGCTGGCTCACTGACACCTTCCACATGCTCCTTATGAAGTGCCTTTGACCCAGCAAGCCCAGTGTGGACCAGGTGAAACCCCAAAGCAGTGCCCACATCACTGCCATGCCTTGGCGTGCGTGAGAGGGATGTGGAGGAGCCTGGCAGGGTGCTGGGTGATGCTGTGGTGATGCATCACCACTCCTTGCTGGGCTGGCCACCCACTAGTGCTGCAAACATGAAACAAAGATCTGTGCCCTTCTTGCACTGCAGCCAGTGGGTGTTTTGGATGCTGCTCTGTGGCCAGGCTGGTTTGGGAAAAGCCGTGGTCCTGCGTGTGTTGGAGCCCTGTGGCCACAGGTCTGATCCCCACCATGGCTGAAAATCCCAGCTGGGAAAGGGAGAAACTTCCTGTCTGGAGATGGTAAGGGGAGCAGCACAAACCAAATTTTGAGGATGTGCTTTCAGTAGACACATTCCTTGGGAACTGCTTCCCAAAGCTTTACAGCCAAATTTCCCCCCTCATTTTTGTTGACCCTACTATTTTAACGGATTTTAATGCTGTTAAACTCCCAGCTCTTCAAGAATCCTGGGTACACTTGAGCTGCAAATGTGCCCCTTAGCTTAGAGAGTTTTTTAAGTGACAGAGGTGCTGTGAATATGTCCCAGGGACGAATGGTCTGTTTTAGGGACAGCTGTGAGCGCATCAATAAAAGATGCAGCATCAGTCAGTTACTAAATGACCCTTTAGGCTCTGGAAATAAGTAACAATTAACAAAAACTACTCTCAAGCAAGAGAGAATACTATTCCCTTCAGGAAAGGTGGAAACTTGAAGCTGAGAGCCAAAAATGCCAGTTGATGTGTCCTAAGGGAGCTTTTTCAGAAGAAAAACACAGAAATACTGCCTGTATGGGTAGCACAGAGCAGCCCCTGTCTCAGCACAGTGTACCTTTCCACAAGTTTATTTTTTCTGGGATTATTTTGCTACCTACCTCCCAAAGCTTGCTTTACAGAATCGTAGTGCTGTGTAATATACACCTAGAGAGAAAATATAGAGGCTCGGGCTCTTTGCTGGCATGAGCGAGTCAGTGATGACGCAGCAACAGTCAGCAGGGGTGGAAAATGGCCCTTTTAGCTAAATATATGAAATATATATATTTTCCCCAAAGGATAAGCTGGAAATCATAGTGGTATATTCAAGGGGAGCCAAGGGAAAAAAGTGAACATGAATAAAAGGCAGGCACAAAGCCAAGAGGTTTGAAGTTAAAGCCACGTTTACATGTAAAGCCACGTTTACACACTGAGGCTTAAAGAGCTCCTTTACTGTGACTCCTTTGCCAGTGCTGCCAATTCCTGCTGGCATAGGAAGAGGTGCCAGTCCCCAGAAAATTGGGACATCTGAGTGGATGAAGGGTCTGAATGTAGGCAACCCCTTGCCAGGGCAGGGGCTTGCTGGGATCTGTCTGGAAATTCTTTCTCCTCCTCCTCCACATGCGGTGACTCCTAAAATGCTGCAAGCAGTGGGGAAAGGAGCAGTAGGGCTTCCAGGGTGAAATCTTCAGCTGAAATCTTGGCCTTTCCTAGCTGGTGGGAATGCAGCCCAGACTTCTGTCCAGATGGGAATTCATTCCCTGTGCCCTGAGCTCCAAACCCGCTCTGTTTGGCTGGCACCAGCGGCGCTCCTGCAGAGCTCAGCCCTTGCACGAGATGTCAGCGGTGACACAGTGCAGGCGTCGCTGCTGCTTTGTGAACACCGAGGGGAACTTGGGATCGGAAATTCCTAACTGGATAAGAAAGGTAGAGGCATGCAGCAGCCCGTGCTCCTGGGAGGAGGAGGAAGGTAACCTTCCTCTCTGCCGCTCGCCTGCAGGAAGGGATGTCACATGAGGGCCCCCATCTCGGCTCTGTCTGAGCCCTAAATCTCATTTATTCAGGCAAAACTCCCACCGTTTGCGGCGAGGAGTTTTGCCAGAGTAAACACAGCAGATCTGGGTCTTTGCCCTGTTTTGTTTGCATTGATTGCTCCGAGGGGAAACCCACGCTGGAGCCGCGCATCCCGCCCTTCCCCGTGTTGCCCAGTGCACATGCACAAACCTCTAAACTCCTTCAGGGTTTGGGAGGTTTGGGGGGTGTCCTGTCCTGTCTCTTTTCATCCTGTCACCTAGCGGGAGCAGCTCTGGAGGACACATCTGGTGTTCAGGCTTTGTGCCTGGTTGTGCTGCTGTTTTGGCTGAACTCATCCCTGCCTCGGGAGCTGGGGTGCTGGGATGCAGCTCCACGGAGCGTTTGGGGGGTTCCTGTGGGTGTGCTGCAGTTGGGAAGTGCTGTCCAACCCTCCCCTTCCCGCTGCTTGCTTTTGTCCTGGTTGGAAGTGCTATAAACCCTCCTGGTTTAGGGCATGCAGCAAATTCGGACCGATTTAAGACAGGAGCAATCCCCCTGGGAGCTGGATCGGAGTTTGCTCCGTGCTGCCAATAATTTGGGGTGTAAACTGGAATGACTGGGAAACGTGCACAACGCCAGCTCTGGATCCCTGATTTTGGTGTAAACAAAGGGCTAAATGCGGTGCGAGATGAGTTTAGATGGATTGATAGCACTTGGCAACTTAAACAGCCTTTCCGTGTTCCCTTGAGTTATTTCTGCTGTCACAGAGTGTTCCTCTTTTTAATTAGGATTTTTTAAATATAGCTACTGTAGAGTATTTTACAGTGTGTGAATAAATGGTAACAGAATAATATAATGATGTTAGAGATTATGATTTGCCATTAAATACCGTACAGATATCGCTCTGGGTTGTCTTTCCTTTAATTACCAAACCGTTCGAGTTGTCCCATTATCTCGTGTCTATTTTTCTGTGTCCTGTACGCAGATTTTATTTTCCAAGTTTGTCTAAGGGAATTGTGCCAAATACACATCTTTATTGCTTGGCTGCAAAAGGAGCGGAAGAATAATAAAATCCAATAACAATATTGTCAGCCCTGGGCAATTCAAAACAATGAATTGTCTCAGTCTTCTCTTCTGTGTCTGTCCTCAGCTTAGAAACAACAAAGATGAACAGATTAGGTGTTTTTTTTCCTTTGTGTTTTCAAGTTTTAGAGTATAAATTTTCAAGGTTTTCTATGCTATGAGGAGGTCTGGAGCTTCCCCCACACACTGGCAATTACACCAGCATCCTTTTTTAAGTGCATTTCTTAATACCAAATGCCAGCTGCAGCTAGGAGAAAAATGTTAATTGGTGAGTTATTTGATTGTTATTTGATATTTCGTGCAAAGCAGCAATGCCTCAGCTGGGCACTTCGGTGGCAGCCGAGTGGATTCTGCTCCTGACTTTAATAGGAGAAGAATCAGGACTGTTTGTTAGAGCTGTTTCTTAAAAGGGAAACTTACTGCTTACTGAAGAAGCGGATATGAAAAGCACAAACTTGTTCTTTTCTTGCCAAGAACTGTACAGATTATGTCACTGTATTTATTTAAATCTTGTTTCCATTATTTAGTTTCTCTGCTTTTCCCTGCTAGTCTGCATCTGGTTCTCAGGCACTCAGACGGGGCTGGGCTACAAACCCTGCAGGGAAAAGCTCAAACCTATAGAAAAAGATATAATTTAGGGTAATATATGTTCTTATTTGTGTATTATTGATATACAGTTCTCAGTTATTGATCTGAGGGAGCCCTTCAAAACAGTTGAATAGTTTTGCAGGGCTCCTGTATTTAATGAAACTATGCAATCATTAATTTTTTAGGAGTTCCTCCTACTTGCACACCTGGAGGCAGGAGATTAGACCCTCCCTGCAGCTCTGCAAATGCCACAGGTATTTCGCTGCTCCCAGATTCCCAACAGACAGACAAACGGACAGACACACACATGCACAGTCCTTGCTTGTTTATCGGGCACCTGGTTAGTCCTTCCAGTTCACCACACGCTCCAATATAAAGGGGTAATTTTCGGATGTGCTCGATTCCAGCACGGAAACCAGCCCAATATCAGGCTCAAAAATCCGTTTGCAATTGTGTGAAACAAGAGAAGCGCCTTAAACGCGAATGACAAAAAGAATTTGTTGGAAGCCTCTTCGCTGTTTAAAGGGGCTAAACCTCATTCTATGTGCAGAACCACCGGCTATGCGGGATTATTTTTATTTTACTCTACCAGACATCGCAATTATTTATACACAGCGGACAAGTCCCCGGGCGGCCCGCCGGCCGCCATGACACCCTGCTCCCCGAGGGGCGGGGTGTGGGTGTCATGGCGGCCGGCGGGCGGACTACAACTCCCAGGACGCACCGCGCGGCCAAACCAGAAGGCTCTTAGCGGGGAGGGTACGGACTACAACTCCCAGGGTGCACCGCGCAGAAAAGAATGCGTTGCTGCGTGTTTTGAGCGGACTACAATTCCCAGTATGTCCCGCGCGCCCAGTGACGTCACCCCTTTCCCGCGCAGGCGCAGAGCGCGGTGGATGCTGTGAGGAGGAGGAGGAGGCGGCGATGGCGCTGAACAAGAACCACTCGGAGGGCGGAGGCGTCATCGTTAACAACAGCGAGAAGTGAGGTGCTATCCCCTTCTCCCTTCCTCCGGCCGCGGCGGCCGGGGGGTAGCGCGGAGCTGCCTTCTTCCCCCCCTGCCCTCCTCCTGCCTTCCCCCTCAGCGGGAGCAGCTGTCTATGGGCAGAGGGGTGGTGAGGGGATGAAAAGGTGCCGGCGTTGCTCGTCCTCCCCTCGTCTCCCTGCGGGTTTCGGGCTGTTCGCACCCCCCTGCCCCAGGGCCTTCCCGGGGGGAGCTGTGCTGGGCCTCAGCCGCGGGCCCCGCGCCGCTGCCCGCAGTGTCCCGCCCGTCCCCCGCCTGCTGCCGTCTCCCGCCGCCATCCCCAGTGCCCAGGGAGGGCTGGCAGAGCCCAGCTCCCACCCAGGTGGTTTGGGATCCCCCCTCGGGGATGCTCTCGCCTGCTGCACCGGCATCGTGTCCCGGTTCAGAGCCCCGGCGTGGTTTGCTGGTTCCTGGCCCCGTGTGTTGGGGAAGGAGCAGCAGTGCTGGAGAAAGGTGCTGGGATATAACCATGGAAACGGCAAGCCTGCACAGAGCTGCCTCTGTGTGCGCGGCCAAGGGCTGCCCACACCGTCTGTCTGGGTCTGACGTGGCAGTCACAGGAGTCCTCTGCCTCGGGGGCAAAGGAGGGAGGGCTTCATCCTTCAGGGCTTCTTTCCGTGGGGCCACTTAAGCGTCGGCGTAGGAATTCTGCGCCCGACTTCCCCTTGGGATGTGGCCTTTCTTGGAAGGATTTCATAAGATCGACTCTGGTGCTTGAATTTGCATTTGCTGAAACAACTGCAGCAGCTTAAAAGTGTTGCTGTTCCCAGCTGTGAGCCTGCCCTGGATCCGGCGCTGCCTGTCCTGTGGCAGCCTAGGCTGATCCAGCTGGAATTCTGCAGCCTGGGCAGAGCTAGCCCCTCTGTACTTCCAGAGCTTTTCCTGGAGGGACAGGTACTTGCTGGCAGAAAGCAAAGGTGAGTGACTGAGGATGGAAACACGCCAGCTGCCAAAGATAGAGGTGGTGGAAGTTTCTGCAGCTTTAGGGATTACAGTCCCTAACGTGGGTGCTGTTGTGTCAATACAAGTTACCTGCTGTGTCCGTGCAAGGTTTTAATCAGGTCAGTTTCTAACTGAGAATTAAGGAATCGGTGCAGGCAACACGGGTTAATGAGGTCTTCTGGAAAGGAAGGGGGAGTTCCTTTTGGTCACATTTTTGTGACAGACGTGCTTGAGCTGTGGTGAGACCTTCAAAAACCAGCGTTGCATAAGCCAGGCTGAGCAGTTCCTGCTCCTGCAGCCCTTCCCCTGTCATGTGGGAACTGAATTAGGGAACTGACCCATGGGAAATGCAACACAACTTCAAAAATAAATAAATAAATAAATAAAAGGAAAGGAAATGTCTTGAGGTCTTGATCAGCTCAATTGAGTGGATTCCCTGCCCGGCTACACAGACAGCAGCAGCTGTGTCAGCACACCGAGGAGGGAACAAGCAGCCAGTGCTCCTTCAGTTGCTGCTGCCAACAGAATAAAAAAGCAAACCAGACTGATGTTGTCTGCTCAGCACGGGCCTGAGGGAACAGGCAGGTTTGGTAGGTCAGTAAACTTTATGTGCATCTTGCACTTCTACCTTGGGCCTTAACACTTGTCTGTTCTCTCGTGGTTGGCAGTGTTCTGATGACGTATGACCATGTAGAAATTACCTTCAGTGACATGGAACCGATGCCAGAGGCCTTCAAAGGGACCAAGAAAGGGAGTGTTTTCCTGACTCCCTACCGGGTAAGTGGTGAAAGGCTTTGTCCTGGGTAAGGAGATAAAGGCTCTCTGCCATTCTGTATTTAAACGTCCTCAATGCATGAAAGTCGGGATAATCTACTCCTGCTTGAAGTGGGGCTCATCCCTCTGCCTCTGGGAAGCATTATGAATTCATTGCATATCCCACCTATTTGTCAAAAGATAATAAATCTGATTAGTCCATGTACAGGCAGCTGTTTAGTCCATCAGGCATCTTCAAATTGGAAATTAGCAATGGTCTGGAAATGCTGAATGCAACAGCACAGCTACTAAATCATAGCTGTGTGGAGCAGCGGTTCTCTGGAAGCTGGGAGGAGTATTATCTGAGCAAGGCACTTCTTGGAAGGCCTTATTACCTTGAGGCTTTGGTTTACCCCTGTGGCTGTTCTGTGTAGCTTTTGGCTTGCAGGACTGATGATGTGGGAGGGAGTTTCAGTCCATCAGAAGTCTCTTCAGGTAATAACTCGGGGCTGTGCTTCCTGCTTGTTTTGAGGAGCTTTTGTAATGTTATTCCCTTTTCAGGTTATCTTTGTGTCCAAGGGGAAGGATGCAATGCAGTCTTTCGTGATGCCCTTTTATTTGTTGAAGGATTGTGAGATTAAGCAGCCAGTGTTTGGAGCAAATTATATCAAGGGCACAGTGAAAGCAGAGGCAGGAGGTATGTATGGGACAGGGTATGTTCTGTGTCTCAGTTCAGCTGCTCAATTCCTGACAAAGTCCTGGGTAACCAAAACTGAACAGTGACCAAATGGGTTTTCACAGTCCTGATAAAATGTGTTTCTTTCTTTGAAACTGGCAGCTAAAAATATTCCCCTTATCAGCTCCCTGTTCAGTTACAGTGACCAGGTCTGCTCTGCAACCCACCTCATTCCTGCCCTCTGCAAAAATACCGAGCTCACTCAACCAAGTGATCTCAGCAAATAAACATCAGAGTGGAGTCAGCAAGTGAGGTGTGATTTTGCTTTGGTCACTTGGGGTCACCTGTCCCACTTGCATCCAGGTCCTCTTGTGCCAAGGACTTGGATCCTTCCTGGATTTGTTTGTGTTCTCAGGTGCAGATCCCCAGAGCACTGTTCTCCATCGTGTTTCTTGTGCTGTTGCTGTGGTGCATCCTGGCACTGAAAATGGCACTTGGAAGAGAATGGACTCTCTTGAAATTAGGGGGAATCTTCGAGGGGCTGTTTCACATTATGTTCAATGAGAAGGCCGTGGCAGATGTTTCAAGAGTAATTTTGAGTTTGACCATTGTTTTTACCAAAGGCACAGAGTTCAGCAAACTTGCATCCTCAGCTTTGTTCAGTCTGTTAGTCGTGGCACGGAAATCACAGCTCAGGGCTTAGGAGCTGTAACCCTGAAATCAGCATTGGAACCTCTGTGTGGGAGCAGAGTGGGGCCATCCAGCGTGAGAGGCAGCCTGAGCAGTAAAGACAAACTAAACTGTGTGAAAGGCAAAGGGCTTTAGCTAAATCT